TTTCTTTTTCAAATGCCAAACACGTTTGCATTTTAAAAGCAATTATGATGGATTATAATGACATCTTTAAAAATACATGTTTTCATGTATTCTGAAACCTGTAAATTCCTCACTTCCTTTGTCTATTGCTCAGTTTATAACTCTCATCTGCCATGGCCTTAGTTCTTCATCTGTTCTGTGTCACGGAAGTGCTTCCTGGAAGAGAACAATGTTTCAAGGTATAAATTTCAACCATGTTATCTATTCTAGGGACATGGTGGGTATTTGCACAAGATTCTTATCTCTGACTGCAAAGCAACACTCTTTAAGAGTATTCAAAGAGCCGGGGGGTGGGGGTGCACGTCTTTAATCCCAGCACTTGGGAGGCAGAGCCAGATGGATCTCTGTGAGTTCGAGGCCAGCCTGGGCTACTGAGTGAGTTCCAGGAAAGGCGCAAAGCTACACAGAGAAACCCTGTCTCAAAAAACAAACAAACAAACAAACAAAAGAGTGTTAAAAGAACAGAGTTCAAGATAGAGAGGCTGGGAAGAACTTCCTGATTTAGACCTTACAGGTCAAGCAGACAGACCCCAGACTCTTTTTTTTTTTTTTTTGGTTTTTCGAGACAGGGTTTCTCTGTGTAGCTTTGCGCCTTTCCTGGAACTCACTTGGTAGTCCAGGCTGGCCTCGAACTCACAGAGATCCACCTGGCTCTGCCTCCCGAGTGCTGGGATTAAAGGCGTGCGCCACCACTCCGCCCGGCCCCAGACTCTTAATATACCTGGGGAGACGAGCTGGAAGGTACAAATATCCTGACTTAGGAACTGGATTTGGGATCTTAGAATGTTTTCATTGAAACTCTGGAAAGCCAGAAACAAAATCAGTGTTTAGAGGGAAGGCATCCTCAGTTCCCGCCTTCCTACTCCTTCAGTATCCAGTTAAGTGGAGAGGAGACAGCATCTTTCCTTCTCCTGCTTAATAATATAATATTAACAGCAGTCATCTATGTGTACATTTTAAATTCCATTTTTCTAGAGGGCATATTCCAACATGTACTTTGTGAGATTGTTGCATCAAAGCACCAGGAAGACATCAAAACATAATGTATATGTAGTTTTCGAAAAATTCTTCTTTGATATTACATAAGAATCACAATGATATAATTTGTCCTCCTACCCCTCTTACATACTGAAAATAAAGCCAAAACTTAAACATGCAGAATTAATCCCTAAGGCAAAACAAGATAAGAAGGAGAATTTTATCCAAATTCCTTTAATGGGAATTGAAGCTAAAACAGTTAACACAAACCACTCAGGAGAAAAAAGAAGTGATGATATTTTATAATTCATCTTCTAGCCACGCTGCCTTGTAAAATGTTTCTTTTGCTAATTGCACTTAGTGGTTATAAAATTAAATGGGCTGCAATGGCTAGTCACCTGGTTTCCTGAATTGTCAGGTAGCCAGAAATAATGTTTTGAAGTTGAGGAATCGTGGAAGTGCATTTCAATCAAGACTACATTTGTACAGAATTTTGCATCTTGCGTGCAATTTAGCCCCCTTTGTGACTGATATCTGTGTAATGTATTTGATAGTATCTAAGAGGACATCAACATCCTTCATGTGGATAAGTAAGAACTAGCAAGTGAAGGACACTTGTAACAAGACTTACCAGCTAAGAGCTGACCCAACTCATTAGGGAGTCAGAATTTATCCTTGTTATGTTTGTTCCTTGACAATACCTTAACACATGGAAGGAGGATATGCGCTTTCCTCTTTATCCATATCCCTTCAGTGTTTATTATCAACTTAGTGCCAAACAGTATGCTGGTTCTGAGAAGCTAATGAACTCATAAAACACAATCTCTGTTCATTACAAGAGTGAACTTTAGCTGGGTGGTGGTGGCGCACGCCTTTAATCCTAGTACTCCGGAGGCAGAGGCAGGTGGATCTCTGAGTTTGAGACCAGCCTGGTCTACAGAGTGAGTTCCAAGACAGCCAGGGCTACACAGAGAAACCCTCTCTCGAAAAACCAAACCAACCAACCAAACAAACAAGAAAATCAAAACGTCCAAACAAACAAAAAACATGAGTGAATTCTAGTTGGGAGCTCGGTTTCATTTTAAAAACATCAACACATGAATAGAATATCACAACTGTCTTGTACAGGAAATATGTCAAATATGTGGGAAGGATCAGCTTCCACAGCCTGAACAGAAAAGATGAGAAGGAAATGGCAACGTGAGAAAGGGCAGAGAAAGGGAGGTCTGGCTCTGTTGTCATAAATTCTCCAAACTGAACATTGTATTTTCCAGCAAGGTAACTGTGAACTCTTCTACTCTCCCGGTGGCAGCTTTTCTTACACAGTTCAAGCATAGAGCTGTTTAACAAATTGTATACAGTGTAGCTATGGCCAAGGGCACAAGTAAATCCACTCTCTAATCGCTAGCAAAATATCATGGAGGGCAATCTTGGACAAAGTGAATTGCTACAGTTTATATATGGTTACTTTCTCATGAATGAATTTCATTGTGAGCATGATTCGATTGCCAAGAACACAGAATTCTGAGGCATGAAACAGAAACACCCAATTTAGTTTGCAAACACATTCATGACTTCTTCAGACCAATTGAATTCATCATGGTCTGCCTGAGAAAGAAACAAGCGATGTTAAAAAGATGGCCTAATTCTCACACTTCAGAATGTTGCCCCCTAAAGTTTGTGCTTCATTAGTCCCCTCCTAATTATCCCACTCTTGGGGAAGACCATGGCAGCTAGTAAACTGACTAGAGGTCTAACCACTAGAGGGAGGTGTGCCTCTGGCGACTAGGGAACCAATGACAGCCACTCATTAACAGGGTAAGTTTGGAGGGATCTAAATTAAGCAGTAGTCAGCTAGGGGCAAGGACTGTATCAACTATGGTAGTTTGCTAACTTGAGGATGGAGCTTTCCGATTTCACAATGGCTCTTCTGCAGATGAACTCTGTTGCTCTTCACTATGAAGACGTTGCCTTTTAGTACTGAATGTTTTCATCTTTTCGAAGGACCACTATGACTGTGCAGATACGTAGAACATTGAAACCTACTTTTCAGAAGAGAAGGAATGTTTAGAGGATGTCTTTCAGATACATACATACATACACACATATATATATATATATACACACACATACATACATATAAATCTTTATTTATAGTATGTCACCCTTTAGATAGTGTAGTCACACATTCCAGGTTTCTGAATTTGCTGCCTATTGAATTGATTAGAATCACTCCTTGAGTCTCTTTAGTTTGGCCTTTCCAAATCTTACTTTAGGAGAAAAACAAAAACAAAAACAAAAAACAAAAAAACATTTCATTCAGATAGTTGACAAATAGGTTACAAATTTAATTTTAACAATGTCACAGATACTGCAACTTAAAAAAAAAGTCATCAAATTTGAAAACCTGAGCACAAGAACAAGTGATTTCTCCCCAATGAAATGGTGTATCTTAATACCATCATTTGCCATAACTAAAAAAAAAAAAAAGAAAAAATGAACTGAGCCTACAAGTACAATCGCTTAATAACTGCAATGCACAGAACAAGCTTTTAAAAAAGTAAAAATAAACACATTAGACGCTGTTAGGGTATCCGTTGTGTACCACTGTGAATGAATCCTTTGCTCACACCGAAATCCAAACACAGGGCAGAGTGGTGCTTCAGATGAAAGTTGATTTTATTTTCAATGTGTCATACCGCCTGCTTCAGCGGAAAGGGGCGGGGGGGGGGGGGAGAGAAAACTCTCTCAGCAACTATTTCTGGGATTCTTTAAAGGAGTGGGAGGCACAGCGCCTGCTCCTCTTTCAGCATTGATTTTCTACACAATTTGCGATACGGTTTCTCAGAAGTGCTGTTTGGCAGTCCTGATAATTTCGTGTGTTTTCAAACTTAACCCACCCAGGCTACACAGTTCAGTATTTTCAGCTCCTTTCATTTTCTTTTCCCTTTAATTATAGAAGTCTCTATTCCCTTTTCTGTGGTCCAAGAAAGATAGTAAATGCTGCTATTTGTAGACCGAACATGCATTTGTTTTTCTCAGGACGATTCCAATACTTTCCCATCCACCTTCTCCCCCCCCCTCCCTCCCCGCCCCCACCCAAACAACGTCGTGATTGACAATCAGGCTAGGCAACACTCCCAGGCTACACAACTTTTTGGACCCTCACGGTTCCTTTGACTCAGGGGGTGGATGTGGCACACGCCGGGACGGGGGGTTGGATATAAACGGCAAGTAAACACTCTAATTTTAAACTTGCACTGGAAAGCACTTTCACAATGGGGACAAGTCGCTCTCCGTGTCTCCCAGCGCACTCGCCAGGGCCCCTCCGCCGCCGGGCTCAGAGGTCCCGGGTCTTCCCGGGTGCCGGGGTGGGGTGGGGCGGGGGGGGGGGGGAAGCCAGCGTCGGGGAGGTGGCGGGCCGAAGCGAAAAACTTCCAGCGGCCGACACGAGCTCGGGGAAGCGGCGATCGTCCCTGCCGCGCGGCGAGCGGAGAACGTGAGCCCCGGGCGGGCGCGCGCGCGCGCGGGGGCGCCGGGGAGCGGGGGAGAGCGGGGGCGGAGCCGGCGCGGGGGGCGCGCGGGGCGCGGAGGAGAGAGGAGGAGGAGGAGGAGGAGGAGGAGGAGGAGGAGGAGGCGGCGCGGAGCCGCGCGGCACTTGTCCTGTAATCGATTGCCGAGCGCGCCGAGCGAGCCAGCGAGCGGCCGAGCGCGCAGACACGCGCCCCCCGCCCCGCCCCGCCCCCGCCCGCCCGCCCGCGCGCGCGCCCCGCCCGCTCGTTCGCTCGCTTGCTCGCCGGCTCGCGGGCTTTCACCGACCCGGGCGCTCGCACACGCACCCCCCCCCACCCCCCCCCCCCCCCCCCCCCCCCCCCCCCCCCCCCCCCGCCCCACCAACTCCAACCCCAGTCCGTGCACGCGCGCCCCCCGCCAGCCCGCGCGTCCCCCGTCCCCGTCCCCGTCCCCGTCCCCGCCGCCGCCGCTGCTGCCGCCTGCCCTCCGCCCGCGGGCGTCTGCGCGAGCCCGGGGCCGGCGGGGGAGATGTGCTCGGGCTCCGCCGGATCGGTTTCTCGGGGTTTGACCAGCTGTCCCGGGCTAACCCTGCTCCCTCGCTGAAGATGGAGGAAGTAAAAACAGGATTACCCTTAGCTACAGATCCACTGCCTTAGTTTCCACCACCCACTGCAGTGCACAAACACACGTTAGGCACAAGGAGAGAAAAGAAAGAGAGAGAGGGGAGAGGACACACTAACAGTAAACACAAACAAAAGGGTGATGGGATTATTTTACTGCATGCACGGCTGAGGTAAATCTCCGCTTGGCTTTTTTTTTTTTCCTTTTTTTTTTTTTTTGCGTGGGGAAGAACAGCTCTTGTTTTATTTGTCTTCTGATTCATAGATGATATATCAATTCGTGTATGGTTTGCAAAGTGGGGGGGAGTGTTTTCAAAGTTAAGTGTAATTATATGGGCTCTTGTTTGGCCGTGTGGTGTGATCGAATGACTTGTTGCTGTTAACCAGGGATAATAATAATATAGGCGCTTTTCTTTGGGGAGGGACGGGTCGTGGCTCTGATGAGGGGGTAACGATTTCTGTAAAGGACGCTCAGGGAATCTGGTTGAAGATGATGTCCTTAATGTATGGTCCCCCTCCTTGTAATCTGCTTCTGGGATGTTAATGGATTAATCAGTTCTCATCTCTATAGCTGTCATGGATTTGGACTTGTTTTTTGCTTTGTTTTAACTTGAATTCCAAGAAGAAAGATTGGATAGCCTGGCGTAAATTGCAGCTGTCTAGATACAAGGTGTTATCCTGTTGAGATTGGAAACAACAAAAACAAAACAAAAATAATAACAACAACAACAACAACAACAAGAAACCACTCTAATGTGACACATGTATTAAAGCAGCAGTTAAATCGCTTTGACAGGTTCTGGTATGGGCGAGAGAGATGGAATGAAGATTTAATTTCTTTTTCTTTTCTTTTCTTTTTTTTTTTTCTGTTTTGCCAGAGGCCACAAAACAGTCCTGTGAAGTTGGCCTAGGTTCCTTGCTGGGTTCTGCCTGACTGTCCCTCCCCTCGTTTCCCCCCCCCTCCCCCTTTTTTTCTTTCAGTTTTCTCGTCTTAGCTTTTGGTCGATTCTTAAGGAACCGGTGGATCAAGTTTTTTCTCTTCTTGTTAATCGCATTGCTGTAGCACTGACTGACCTCTCTCTCTCTCTCCCTCTCTCCCTCCCTCTCTCTCTCTCTTTTTTTTCCTCTTTCCTGAAAGTACGTGGTGCCATTCCTGAGTGACTTTTCCTACTAGACCATCCCAAAGGGACGAGGGGGCGGGGGCGGGGGGAGGAGGAGGACGAAGAGGAGGAGGAGGAGGAGGAGAAGGAGGAGGAGGAGGTTGGGGGGGGAGTGTTCCTTCTCTCTCATTTCTTGGTTTTGTTTATCAGCCGATCTGTTTGCTGGATTCAGGCTTGGAATGACCCACCTGTAAAGTGCTTCCCTCCTCCTCGCCTTGAACTCTGCAGGGGGCTTGGCCTGGAGGGGGCCAGGGAGGGAAGGGGGGGGGGACACAAAAAACTTCTTTCTTTCTTTCTCCGTTTCTCTTCAGCCCGACATTGTCACCTCCTCTTGGAGGGGTTAGAAGAAGCTGGGATCTCCCGACAGAGCTGGAAATGGTGATGAATGTTTTTTAATCAAAGGACAATTTCTTTTGTATGTACATTTCGTTTCTGTTGATCTTTTTCTTTCTTTTCCTTCGCTGAGGGGTTTAGTAACCAGTTCACTGATGGGGCAGACTTCTTTTGCTTCTAACTGACGCTTCTTTTCAGTATGTGTGTTTAAATGTGTACATTTTTAAAGAGATAGACTCATCTGTAAGATCTCCGTAGAAACTGCCTCCCCTTTTAAACTTTACGGATCCCTTTCTTTAAAGCCTTATGTAATCATAATTGAAAGAATTTGATAAGAGTAGAGCAGGTCGGGATTTAACTGCTATGTAGTTGCTGAGGTGAGAATTTGATCTGATTATTCCATAAAGAAAGAAAGAAAAGTTTTTTGGGGGTGGGGGGGGGAGGGAGGCTGGTGGTGAAGTGGGGGGGGGAGGGAGAAGGGAAGTGGTTTTGGAGACAAGAAGTGAAGCTGCCTGTTTTCCAGTAAGTAATGGAGAAATTCCAGGAGCCAGGGCTAAATATACTTGGCGATCAATACAGAAATGGCTCATTGTGAATAATTTTAGCTGCTGCTGCTGTGAGAGTTTTGAAACTAAAGGCAAAAAGGACCAGGGCCAAAGGAAAAAAAAAATAAGTAAAAAAATCTTTTCAGCTCTTGTCAATTCTTTAACTTTTCCCCTCAAAAGAATACAGTTAGATTATCGATCTTTTCATTATGGAATCAAAGCTAGGGGGGTGTCGTCCCTTGCAATTTACTTTTGTTTCTGGGGATTAAGTTCTGTTGTGTGTTATTGGTGCATGAAAACCATTTCCCTGGGTACTTGGGTCGAAAATGATCCCCCTCGTGCACAGGCAGAAAGTTTCTGAAATGTTGGAAATCCGAATGTCTTAAGTAGGCTTGGCATTTGTCTCCAGCCATAGTCTGGCAGGAAATTAAGGGTACGTTTAACAGGTGCTTACACAGAATTTGGGGTAGGCTAAAATGTCAATACAAGCCGGAGAGTTGGCCAACTGCTGCCAAAGTCTTCAAGATGCAGTTTAGCACTCAGTATTTTTGTTTTGTTTTGTTTTCTTAATGTTTGTTTGCTCTCCCCCTCCCTATTAGAACATGATGAACCAACTCGCAACAATTGTGAATAGAGCTGTCTGTATACTAGGGAAGTCCTCAAACGATAGTGTGATTGTGGGAAGGAGCGAATGGTCAAATACTTAGATGGCAGTTAGAAGTTGGCGAATTCGAGGTATACCCCCTCTGCATTTTCTTTCTTTCTTTCTTTCTTTTTTTTTTTCCTGATAAAACAGGTAACTTTTGAGTAAGAGCGTCCTTCTTTGCTTGCTACAGCCCATCTCACACAGCACACTTATCTTCCCTATCCTATCTCCAGCCAGGGATCAGATCATTTGCAGAGAGTTCAGTGACTGGCAAATGAGCACACACACAGTACACTGTAGCATGTTTTCTTGGGCACAGGTTGCAGGAGCAACATGGACTAGCTGCTTAGGGCTTCCAATAAGTTAAGAATTTCCTGGCAGATACCTGGAGGCATCCTTGGGTTAAGGTGGTAATCTTTTTTTTTTACAGCACTGCACTTTGACTATGGAAACAGAGGCTATTGATGGCTACTTAACATGTGAGTACTCATTCCCATTCATTTGCGGGGTGGGGGGGGTGGGGGGTGGGAATAAAGTTAGCTTCCCGGCTACCTGCATGTGAATTCCTGAGCCTTGAGTTTTTAGGACTCTGTGGTTTTATTTGCCAGTCACCATTTTACCTTTTAATGAACATGAGGAAGGATTAACAGAAGCAAGATATAAGAAGGAGGACATAGAAAACATACTCATTTGATAAAGGGCATTATTTAGTCTTTGTAGCTTACAGATCTTGAGTTTTCTAGTTGATTGTTTTCCCCCACTTAGTTTGAATTTAGAATACATCCGGTCACAGATAGTGTGATGTGTACTAAAGATTTACTGCTAGGTGACCTAATTTTCCAGACACATAGTATGAAAGAATTAGCTTCTTAAGTTGACTTTTGTTTTTGCTTTTTTTTTTTTTTTTTTTAAAGCAAGCTCTGTTTGAGCCATCCAGCTAACATTTTAGGAAATGTTCACTTTAAGTACTCTATATTGAAGAATTAAATTAGATTATTAAAAAAAACATACTGTTTTCACTAGAACTATTTTGGATCTCAAATGCTTCCTATTCCCATTGACCTGTAAGAGTGTTTTATGATAATAAAGTTTGTTCATTTTTTTTTTTACTATGGGCTAGTTTTTTTTTTTGTTTCATTCATTTACTATGTGTTTTATTTCTTTATAGTTTCTCCTAAAAGTAAAGCATGTTTCTTAAGCATTCAGTTCTGCATGCCCTTTGAATGTGAGGCAGTCCGAGTAATTAGATGTTTTATGACGAAGAACAGAAACTAAAAGATTTTATTTTTTAAAAGCAGGTGACAATGAGCTTTCACCCGAAGGGGAGCACGCCAGTATGGCCATTGACCTCACCTCAAGCACACCCAATGGACAGCACGCCTCCCCAAGTCACATGACAAGCAGTAAGTCTTCATTTTATGTTTTTTTTTTTTTTAATTCTCAAGTGAGAGAGATTTGAACTTGTCAGGTCTGTGGGGTCTACTCACTCTGTGGTGTAGCGACTGCTGTAGCTTTTGCTGAGGGAAGAGCAACCCAGATTTATTTCCGTTCATAAACCATGAGCCTACTTACTAGTCTGAACTATCCCAAGGTGGCATTTGCGAGCTGGTGCTTACCTGTGCCAGGTAAGAAGTGTTAGGATTTGCTGACTATTGTTTCGACTTGAAGGTTCACACCTAGATTTGTTGTTGCTTGATAAAACATCGTGGAAATGTGTCGTTTCCAAAGGCTTCTTCGTAGTTATTAAAAAAAAAAAAGTAGAAATTTTGTTGCCTTGGTATGAAGCTAAAACATCAGTGGTAGGATTGAAGTATTGCTTGCTTTTTCAAAACAGAGGAGGCAGTGTGAAAGTGTAAAAGAGTCAGAAGTGAGATGTCATTGACAATTTGTGGCACTCATTCACATCCATTTCTTTAACAAAGACGAAAGCAGTTTGTTTTAGATTGTCCAGACAAGAAGTAAGACTATTTGGAAGCATGTTTTGGACTTGCAGGCATGGCAGTTTTGGCTCTTTTGGTGTTTCTGATATGGAATGTAATATATACGTTGTTGAGGGTACCAAAAAGGCAATTGGCCTGCTGTGAGTGTTTGATGCTTTTATTTGTTAAGATTGTAGTTGGTCTCTTAATTAAAATGTCTTATCAGATTAGTTAATTAAGTGCAAATGGTCTACCCCTCCTACTCAGAACAACTCGAGATGTTTGGGTATATATTATGGTCTTAAGTAGAAAGGGCATGGCTTATATTAAGTTTAGTTTAATTTACAACTTTTCTGCTTGGGTGATAGGTGAAGGAGACTATCTTTTCCTTTTTGGAGATTTAATAATCAAATAACCTAGTTAATTATAAGAATATTAAGTCAATTCTGGTTATCTGAAGTTCTCCTTTCTCGTTCTCTCTTCTATGCTGACTTAAGTTACTTGAAAGCTGTAAACTTTATAATTGGTGAAGACCTCTGAATTCTAAGCAAAGGTTTATCAATTACCCTTAAATACATTTTTCACTTCATTACCTTCAAATGATTTTGGCTATTGACTTGAAATTGTGATTGAACTCTTTGACTTTATTTCATTTAAAAGTTTTCTTTCTTTTATGAATGAGGAAAACTTATTCAAAAAAATTTCATTCTTGAAGGCGGGCTTTGAAATCCCTCTATGATGTAGAAAGGAAAAAGTAATGATGTTGTTGAGTGATTCATGCTGAATTATATTGTTACTTCTCTTTTGATGGATCTTGTAGCACTTTTTTTTATGCTTATTGATTTGAGAAAAGTTATATTACTGTAACAGTATATAGAGATCTTGCACTTTAATATTTAATGTTATTAGTACCTTGGTAGAAAATGTTTTTATTTGTTAGAAACAACTTTTTCATAAAAATCTCTCGTAGGTTAAATTAGATTTACAAGGAGTTTCTATTGTATTCTAGTTGATCTTTAGCTATTGTTAAAAACATTGAGTATGTAAAATAGAAAGTAGCTGTTGATCAGACTAACCTGTCATCCTGGTCACAACCAGAAAATTAGTAAGAAAGTATTTGCTTAGTTGACCCTTCGTGGTCTGCTTTTCTGACTGCTTCATTCAAAAAGGCATTTCCCTTCTTTTTAAAAAATAAACATTGCAAAGTAAGGAAATGATTAATTTGGACAAATAAGAATTGCATTTTTTCCAAACTTTGAGCTTTTCTCACCCAGCAACAGTAAACGTCAGTTTGGTAATTTTGTGGTTTTTTTTTTTTTTTTTAATTTATTAGCCTATGGCAATTCCATGTTAATACAGTTTTTGGCTAAGCTCTCCGTGTTTTTAGAGTTGCTGGTTAAATATTTTGGCTCTCACTTCAGAGCTGTCTGTTGCATCCTTTATGTAGCCTCTATTTACAGTATCTAGGTTACCCCACTTAGGTGTTAGATGGAGAAGATACCCATTTTTCCTCTCTGTGAGATCCAGGAGAATATCAGCATTGTAGACTGCCAAAGCAAACAGACTTGGAGAAAGACTCTTGTCTGTTAATTAGAACAGACACCTAGAATCGGTCACTGGGATGTTTGAAACTTGGAATAAATTTTTGTATGTGGTGCCTGAAAATTCACTCCTATGTGAGATCACTTGTTTCTTTCTCCGTTGACAC